AAATATACCACATGTACCCATGAAAATTTGAAAAATTTACATCGTGTACTCTTAGAAATATATAAAATTTAACCTTTTCTCCTTCACACAACTTTTTCTACAGAATATCTTATGCAGACATTTGAATCATGGCTCAGAATTTCCAATCTTCTACCGACATGTCCAGGTATCCAATATTGAAGTTATTGATTGATCTGTATGCATAATAATACATAGAATGTGTATGCATATTAATACATAGAATGTGTATGCATATTTTCTTGAACTAATTTCTTGCTACGCGAGTTTTTGTACAATTATTCAAGCCTCAATTTTGAACCACGCGATGTTTGTTTTTTCTGTTTCATGTCTCTTCTAATTTGACGTTCCCAAGAAATTAGGCAGAAAGAAATACCGTCGATTGCTTTTCAGCTAATTGCTTTAACTCAAAGCGTAAATGAAATCAACATCGTTTGTTCTTATTGAAGGCATCTACCCACAAAATGTTCGTCGGTGCTCTGCATGCTATCAAGAAAAATTGCCAAAACAATGACTGATGCGCCGAATAAATCATATAATTACAACCCAGTAGTTAAAAGTTCAGATTACAAGGATTGGCGCAGAGAGGTGCGGGTTCGATCTCAGCTCTGTGCGCCTGTTTCTGGTCAGAATCGGCAAGGAGGCCGGGCGGTTAAGCACAGCAGAATTGTAGCAGTGAGTTGCGAGTTCATGACCGCATCAAGCTGTGAATGTTCTGCGATGAAACCGATATTGAAACCTACTAAACGCTGAAACCGATATTATGCCCGGTTTTCCCATCGCACCCTTCCTGCCTTGCAATAGTCCATATGCAATGATTCGTGCTGTGGGCTGGCAACTCGATGTAGGTCGCACTTGCTGGCCTGTGCGAGAAATGCCAAATTTCTCACCGATATTTATTGAAATTTCCCCACTAAATAACCCATGATAATACAGTATATATAAATAATTTCTTTCTGGCGCGCAGTGCGGTCGTCCTTTGTCCGACTGTGCGGACTAGTCAATGTTAGGCGCTGGGAGAACAGGCTGGACAGATGCACATATTTTATGCTGTGCAGAGCAGTGGTCGACTCCATCAGTGCTACGTAATGAGCTTCTATCTACATTGTTCCGTGTTGTCCCAGTACACGTTGACAGTGTTATCTTCTTATCAGTGCCTGCAGCAGCGCCATGCTCATCGGTTATTAAGTATCCCTAAAATTCTACCTACAAACTTGGTTCTCTGTCATTTGTTTTGCGTGAATGTCGTGTCAATTTTTATTTATCTGATTGCATCAACTCTAGGCCTAATTTGCTTCTGTGGGAAGCTTGACCTTAGTTTAAGGCTACATATTTTAAGATTCAATAGCCCGTCATTCACCATAATCGAGTTTGTTCAATATATCAAATCAAAGCTCGGCTGGTCCGAGTACATTATTCAATTATTTTAAACTCATTAATTATATCACGGCTACACTTTGATTTATAATTACTATTATTTAAATTAATATAACAAAATTTTATTCAAATTAAATTCGAAGTTATATCAGAGTTCTATTCAAAGATGTATTCAGATAGCGGGGTGGTGCAATCCTATAAGGCTGTTGAGATTTTACTGCTGCATATTGTGCTATACTACGTAGTTCAAGTCTTTGTTCTAATTTCAAACGCAGATGAACCTTTTGCTATTCTTTCTGTATATCTCAGTCCAACTTCCTACCCCTTCTACTGATTTCATCTAAATTTCAAAATTTATTTCTTCAACCGAAAGTACCAACACTAAGCATTAAAAACCTCAGGTCAGTTGCTGCATCAAAGTCAATCTATAATGCGACTATACATTTGTGTTGCGAGACTTTATTTCCTTGCGGTTTGCTCTTGACCAGGTTTTTATTTTCTCTTCAGTATCGACTTTCTGACGCCCCAGCGGGACTTCATTGTCGTATCATAGCTACGTCGTGCCAGCGTCATGATCCTTCCCGACCAACCCTGCGCCAACATCAACCCTGAACCCTGCGCCAACAGCAACCCTGAACCCTGCCTGCCTGCAGCTGTAACGCAGTGGACCCTCTACTGCTTGGTCAATACTGCCATTATTTTATATGCCATCGAATTTGATGGAACAACATGAGGAGCGGCAAGTTCTTGGATTTTAATAAGGATTGAAGATCAATAAAGTTTTTTAAATGTTTAAAGTAAGACCTTGAATGATCATATACTTACTTATATATCGTCGCACTACTCGTTGGATTTTTCTTGTTAAATTACTACATATAAAATAAAATATTAAAGAACATCGATTGCATCAATTCCTTACACCTGTTACTGCCAGCGCATGGCGTCAGGTGCAGTCAAGTTCGTGGTATACAAGTTCTTTATTTGGCAAGATTTCGCACCACCGACCCGCACACACATGGAGCTGAACGCGCTGGACCAAAGTTCGCTAAGCGCTACTCATGGCTTACAAAGCGGAGCTGAACGCGCTGGACCAAAGTTCGCTATAAGCGCTACTCATGGCTTACAAATCGGAGCTGAACGCGCTGGACCAAAGTTCGCTAAGCGCCAAGTTTCTCAGGTGCCCAGCAGCGCTGCAGGCAACGCTGCCCCAGAACTCCTCTCTCTGCAGGCGTGAATAAAAGCATTTAGTTCTGCTGAATAAATGTAAACTAGAAACAATTTCTGTGAATGCAATTAAAGCTTTTCTGTGATACAAGCTCCCTTAGAAACCTTCATTAAAGCCGTAATTCGCCGAACCAATCCTGAACTAACGATCCATACTTAACCCTCTACCGCCTGACATGAGTAACAGGAGCAATATCAAGCCTACTTCTCAAAAAGGATACCTTCTAGTGAGCGCAAAATGACGCACTGATGGTTGCCGCCACGTACAACTTTAAAATGTTTTCTGTTGCGTACAAACGTCCACAGGTTGCTACACTCAATAGTTTACGTATAATTTAAGTTGAAAGTTATGTTTCCGGAGAGTGACATGCGGCGGTAGAGGGTACGTTGGCGGTGGGCAGTTGACCTGGAAGATACAACACGGAAGATTGATAGCTTGACTNTTGCCTCAGACGCTGAGACTTGATATTTGCCTCAGACGCTGACACCAGTGCTCTGACAGGACGCCACTGAGTGGCAGCTACTGGCAGCTGCCATGAAGCATCTTCCTCGGCCGCAAGTGAATTCGCAGCAGCAATTTTTCGGATGTACCTTCTAGTAATTATTATCATAATTATTATTATTATGTACCTTCTGGTAATTATTATTGTAATTATTATTATTTATTATTAATATTTACCTTCTGGCAACTATTATTATAATTGTTATTATTATTGATTATCATTATTTACCTTCTGGTAATTATTATTGTAATTATTATTATTTATTATTAATATTTACCTTCTGGCAACTATTATTATAATTGTTATTATTATTGATTATCATTATTTACCTTCTGGTAATTATTATTATTATTATTAATTATTAACATTTGCCTTCTAATAATTATTTGTCAAATAATTGTCAGAATTTATGCGAGGATTGGTGCTGGGCGGTGAGACGACAGGAAAAAGCCTCGCAGGGCGAGCTGAATGACTAATTTGTAATGCTGCCGAAAACATATTCCGAAAATAGACATTTATGCATAATTATTAAACCATTACTTTTTTAAGTGATCAACATTGATGACAACGAGATTAATCAGTCAAGAACGCGAAACAAAATGGACAAACATCAATTAATATCAAAGGAGAAACGGAAAACGAAGACTTAAAGGAACCATTCAAATCTTCACAAATTCAACCTAATTTGTTGTAACAATTAAGGACTGCAACGATCAAGTTGGCATAAACCAATCTTCAACAGAAGCTTCATTCATTCTAACATCAGAAGCACAGCGCGTCCAATAAATCTTGGACCTTCTTACCACTCGCAGGCGGGACTCAGGAATGTCGTATGGTCTGGCGTGAAGGTTAATTTGCAGTAAATACTAATGGTGGTAATCACGCACGGTCATAAGCAGCATCGATCAGTGCAGTTTGATGACAAAATTACTCATGGAATTAACCAGCAAAAACGATAGGTGCGACCAGTCTTAATATTTTCTAGTATATTCATGATAGGGTTTCAAGTGGAGTCCTGAGTCTGTTTAACCGAGCAATAAGGAAATAGCTGGCGGTGGTAATATGGCGAGCATAACGATAGCTTAGATGTTTTTACGAGAGTTTAAAATTTGATTATTGTTGCGTAAGAATTTGAGATATTAAGTGAGAAAAACTGTTTATTCTACGTATGCTTTGGCGCAGACTTATAGCCAACGGTACGCACAGCCGTGCTCGAGACCGTGAACGCAAAAATGTCAAGCAGATGCTGAAATAACTGAAAATTAATTCAGGGTTCAAGATGAAATCAGCTTCGAATCGACCATGCTGGATTTAACAGCATATTTAAAATTTTAAATTACTGCTAACGTTATCATTATGCTTAAAACTTTATCCCTTTAAAGGTTTTCTAAAGGCCTCATGCGATCGTATTTGTCGACGAAACGAGTTCGTTACGAGTTCCGTCGACGTCCTTGAACGTCTGGCGTTGCCTGCTTGTGATGGCATCGCTGCAGCGGTGCTGCCAGATGCGCAGAAATTTCTGTAAAATTGAAGGACTTTCTGATAACCGGATAGAGCGCAGCTATGTCAGAAAAAATCAGTAGAGATGTCTTGTGCGATCAAGTATAACAATCAAACACATATACAGTGTATTTTTTGCTCAACTGAACTATTATTTTCTATAAGAAGTTGTATTTATACGGTTACAGAAATTATTCTTGCCCACAACCAGAAATTTTTCTGCATCATCCGCAGCACTGCTGAACCGGTGCACACGCAGGACACGCTGCACGTCGTCAGTCTAATCTCGGTAGCGGTTGTGAGCGCTGCGCACAGTTGAAGACTGGGCCGTTAGAAATTTGACTCCTGCTTCATGCTAACCGTTGTGAGTTTAATAGAAAAACATGCACATATTTAGTGGGTGAATTGTTGAAAAACTTGTGAATCTTTTTTATGAATAGACTTTCTATAGAAGGTCTGCGAGTGCGACATAAGTGCTGTGACAATTTGACTGTCAATGAGGTTAGTTTTCTAAGCTGAACCCGCACAGAGTATGGCGATCACTGAATCCGTTACCCCCAGAAAAAACTCGTGAATAAACCGTAAGCAAGACGATCTAGTTCGGGTGGAGCTAATACGCTACGATTCAACTGATGATTAACATATTTAACATATAAATAATTTCACATGAATAAATGTATCACCAGCAGTCCTTAAGTCCTTAACAACAACAAATTTGTTCCCTACTACATTTGCTGATGCAAATGATCTCTGCTAAGGAAATCTTGCTAGGTAAGCGACATGTGACGATAAAACTTTACCGATATTAATATTTTGGCTCATTCACGAAGTATTTATATCGTATCTAAGGCTACAGCACAATATACAATCACAGTAATGACTACTGCTAGTCTAATTCCTATCAACCTACTCTGTGACCGCGTAACTATTGCAAACATGAACCAATTTAACAAAATCATTGATCATATCAAATCTGTGGATGGTGGAGAAAATATTTTTGAAAATGGCAGAATTTTTTTACGTTTTTATCAATATTATCAATAATCATGTCCATAGGCCATATCAACTGCCCCCTGGAAAACTTAAAAGTAATTCTCAATCAACCAACTCTAAACATCACTATTGGACAGGTTTTTACTGACGGTTTTTCAGAAATAGATCTTCCTAAGATTGATTGCCCAAGATTACTAAGATTTTGATTAATCAAAATGGAAATATTGGGGAAAGGAAATATGTCTAAAATATACAACATGTGTCAAATTTCACAGCCTACCTTGTTAAGATAGGTAGGTACTAAAAATTAGTTCTTTATTGGGCCTCTTGGGTCGTTTTCGATTGCATTAGGCGGCAAAATTCTATGTTGGACTTATATTTGTCGTATTTTTTATCTACAAAATAAACAGAAAAATTTAATTCTTGCATTACAATTTACAAATTCGCAACTAAATAATGATTTTTGCCTGTTTTGGTAATTTTTGTTAGCGGATTTGGCAGCTTTTCTCCTGCCACCACCATCTGACGATCCCTCGAAGCCTAAATCTAGAATACCGTTTATTTTCACTCTTGGCATCTAGAATTTTTTAGCAATAGAGTTTAAACATGAAAGCATGTGCTGCTAGAATTGGAACTGAAAATCGTTATATAGTCTTAGCTATCTGCTATTGGTATTAATACTTAAAAGTTTCATCATTTGTCAGACGGTTGACTGAATTGTAATATAGCTAGATGGATGGAAAACCGATAATGTGAATGTTTGAAATCTATCTAATGTGTCTATCTCTTGAATGGAATCGTCAGTTAGTTTTTGCCTGCCGTCTGATAACTAAATGGGACCTAAATGCATACAGCTTATACGATGCATTTTGCCAAAACGTACACCTTCTCAACAGATGATTTTACCGTAATTTCTTTTTAGTGTTATGTTCGCAGCATTCAAAATTGTGAGTTAGACTAATTAGAAAGAATAGCAAGAATAGATATCAGCACCTCAACATGGCAACTGCAATGTTAGAGTGCGACATTTGCACCGAAGAATTTGAATCTGGCAACCACAAGCCACTTTGTCTGAACTGCGGACACACATTTTGCTTCTCTTGCGTTATGGAGCTAACAACTTCATCCGATATTTGTATCTGCCCTAAATGCAAGAAAGAAACTGCGCAAGATATCGATAAAATATTGGTTAACTACGCATTAATCCCGTCTGAAAACAAACCGTATCAACGCTTACCACGTTTACCGTCAGAAACGTCATGTCTTCAGCACCGCAAGGCATTGGATTACCTGTGCGTGGACTGCATCGAATTAGCGTGCTTCAAGTGCATCAGGGGCACGCACGCCTCACACGAAATTGAGGCCATAGACGACCTGTTCAGTGGAGATGAAAGCGTTGTGAGCTCAATGGGGAAAATACAGACCACGATGCAGGATAAGATTTCTGGATTGAAGAATTTAGCCACGGTATTCAATGACTTTTCGAGTTGGATTGATGACGTAATCAACGTGAAGAATGATTTGGATGAATGGAAAGAAGCGCTGCAGGTCTAGATAATTTCTGCCGACAAAGATTTTCAGGACTCCAATGCCGACGAGAAGGAGAGACTTGAGTACATGGAAATTCTACGTCGCCTTAAACTAAAGCCTGCAGTATATTCAAAGTTGTCAGAAATCGAAGCGAAGCTGGTAGCAGTTGTCAATAAGTGTCGTTCGTTAAAGGTGAGAGGAATGAACCGCTGAGCATCTCCATGAAGTAGAAATAGCACTAGTTGCGTGAAAACTTCTAGGAGTTGAGCTAATTGGTTTTGTATTCAACAGTTAAAGTGGGCTTTCCTGGCTCGCTGAAAATTTTCTTGCGTTTGATACTGATAAAATTAACTGCAAGTGGTTTATAAACATTCCAGCGCAATATTAAATGAATGCATCAAAATTAAAATACCCAACAATTTCGATATTATGCTCTAGAAATAAGCAGAAACCATTAACTTGCCTACAGGTGCCATCAAACCCGCATAACCTCTTGCCGGATGGACAACTTTGGACAGTAACAAACAGTGATGATCAAGGCGGGCGAGCTGTACGTAGTCTGTTGAACAATAGGAAGCCCAGCCGCCTCGTAGTGATGTCCCTCCACACGGACCCCATCCCGCAGCTCGGCGAGCTTCTGGAACGGATTGTTGCCAACGACACCGGCGACCTGAGCTTGGTTGACCTGAGCTACTTCTGGAGGTCCCCATACAATAGAAATTCAGAAACAAACGTCACAAATTTTGGGGGGGTCGTATTATTCTTGGCTTGTTAATGTTAATTAACTGAATTAATACATTAAAGCAAAGTTAAAAATGTCAAAAGCAAAGCGAATAAATGCCAGCAAATGTCAAAATCAGATGAATTTTTATTGCTACTAATTTGTTGCACCTTTCACTTCAGACTAATAAATTCTCCTAGTGGTATTTTTTGCCTTTTTTATGAATGTTACGCTCACTCAAATAGTAAATTTTAACTTTTTGGATTTTTTTAGAACTAAAATTAGGAATCTTTTTATTAACATGTCCCAAATCGGTAAACGAACTGCTTCATGTTTGATGGAAGGCTGTTCCTAAGAATTTTTAAGAAGTAACTATGTTCAACGACCATAACACCTGCATTTATTTACCACATGCTGTCAATTGCTTCTTTAATATTATATAATAATAAATAGTTGTAATTTGTTTTTTCTTCATCTCACTGCTCCTGTGGTGACAGATTCTGGCTCAGCTCCCTGTACGGCTCCCCATACAACGTCTTCAACTACATGAGGCAGCGACAGCGCGAGCCCCGCATGTTCGGCCTTCGCTTTGAAGATTCGCGTGCCCTTGATTACTGTATAGAAAATGAACTGCCTGCATGTGGTTAGTATGTGTAGAGTTTTTCTCTGCGTTTTCTTAAATGGCAAGGTGTACTTTTGAAATACTCCATTACCTCAGCTTGAGATGTCGCTTTATTTAATAAATAAGACATTTTCTTTTCAGGCAGGAAAGTCGGTGACAAATATCAGCTAATAACGCATATTTATTTCGTCACCTTTTTTCCTAGGAAACAAAGTTATAAAAATGATTCTATAATGATAATTTCATTACCTTAAATACACCGACTCATTCGCGTTTAAATTCACGGATGATTTTAAGAAATGTCCATTGAATGTCGAACGACCATTTTGAGCAACTTCTGCTCCACTGATATTTCATAGATTGATGGCTTGAATTCATCGAAGTCTGATCATTGACACGGCCTTGATGCTGCACGAGAAGGTGATGGTGATGCGCTATACAATGACCTCACATTATAAACCGAGGTTATTTTTTCCCCCTCCGTAAGCAACATTTACATTGTAGCCGCGCCTCGTGCGTCTTTAATTTTTGTACCGCGATTTTCCTTATAATTTTTTTGCGATCATTCAATAGTTATTCCTCATATTTGTTCTGTTAAATTTGTATTCATTTTTCCAATAATGTTTTTGCATTTCGATCTTTACTAGCATTTTCATTTAGAGAAAAAGTCTGTTCACCCTGATCATTTGATACGCGTCACTTTTATTCTGTTAGTCGTGAAGCACTTTGCGCTTCACTGTTAGTGAATTTTTGTGAAAAGTGGTTAGATTGTGACATGTAAATTTGTGCGGGATTTTTGTGAATACTTATACTGTGAGATCTAAATTTGTGCTCTAATATTTGTGAATTGTTATTATTTTGTTAGGAATATTTCAAGTTAAATATTATAGCTATATCCTAAGTTTTATTTTTGTTGCAGAATTATATTTGTTCACCACCACGAACTATATATTCAGTACGAGCCATCCGCTGGGTTTTTGGGTTTATTTTGTGTTGTTTGAGTTCATTCTGGGTTTATTTCGGATTCAGTTTGAATTTTCACTGTTCCCTTTACCAAGTTTTACTGTGCCTTCGTTACCAATAAAGTGTCAGAAGTCCTCCAAGGTCACTTCCCTGCACGGTTAAAGTTCGAGTGTCTAACTGGCGCTGAAGTAAGAGCGTTCGGAAGTCACCGTCGCGCTTACAACATGAGGATATATGAAAAGTGGGTCACAAAATAATTTAATTGTATTATCCGTATGTTGGAGACAATAATTGCCAGTTACGGGGAGGATTGTCGCAAGTAACTAGCTTTGTTTCCAGTTAAATTAGATACTACATTAGTTTTGGTCCAAGACAAACGGGCAAATTCCGAAACGTATTTATCATAATGATAGATACAATGCGGTGAATGATAATAATGGAATTTTATTTCGTAGGAAAACAATCAGATGCAAGAAAATAGTTTTCGTTTACTATAATTACTTGAAACTCTTGCTTTCTAATAATTAATCACTCTTCCTTAGCTGGTTTAATGTATAAATTTGGAATGAATGCATATTTTGTTTGACTGATTTACGATTTATGTTACAGAAGATGTTTGCTGCGTCCAAGGAGTGCCACACGACCTTGGCACTAGACTTAAGGATCTTGGTTGGAAAATAAGCCGCTGGCACTTCCCTCACCTACGAAACTGTGACTTGGATTGGGTGTGCAAAATCCTAGAACCCTTCAAAGATTGCAGGTGCGAACGAGGGAGCTATATCGCCCTAAGTTTTTATATTAAAGTCCGTCCATAAAAGCTGAGGCAACCACCAAACTCTCTCCTGAGCTTAATCGCAGGTTCATGCGAAATAACCTAACAGCAGCCTAAAGGTTATGTTTTTTATTTCAGAAAATTCTGTTTCACCCTCTCGGACGGTCTGTTGTTTCATACATTTTCTTGGAATCAAACCCTGAAGTAAGCATATACGAAAAATATTATTCGTTATTCATTCAAAATGAGTGCAATCGCTAAGTAAAATGCTAGAAAGTATGATATCAAAGCCAAATAGACATCGAAGAAAAAACGCTCATTACGACTTACAGAAGAAGCTTTGTTAAAAAAAACTGCGTCATACTATTTTGTTTGGGTTTTTTCGATTTTCAAAAAGTAGCGAAAAGATTTTTTTGCATATAAAAATATTGTTAAAACTTGTAGAAATTATTTCTCTCTTTGAGATTAAACATTACTCAAGCCCCACCGAACTTATTACCGCCAACAAACGTTCGCCTCCGATGCAGACCGTTTTTTCATGCTAGGTTACTGCAGATAGAGGTTGGAATCACTTGAATAGATGCCTAATACTGCATCACGGTCAAAAACCTTTCCCGGTTGGTGACGCTCTTATAGGATAATAATTATTGTCAATTCTAATATTTGAATGGATATAGAAGGTAACTACACGTTGTAGTCATTTCCATTCCATATATTTTTCTCATATATTTTAAATTTTTCATGCATGCACTATGAATTTATTAAGCTCGTAATTTTACGGCATTCCACACACTGAGTTTCACCACTATAGTAAATGTCTGTGTAATAAGGCCAGTCTTATTACATAAAAAATAAATATTACACACAATTCTCGAACGCGAATTAAAAGTTCGCGAGAATTCTAAATCTGAAGTCATTCACTTGAAACGCGTTCCTAACATAGATAATTTTGCTGGTTTATAATATCAAGTTGAAAATTTCCAATCTGGAAGCTTTGATCCGAAATTATTTCCTAAGGTTTTTATTGATTCCACCCTAGCTTCAGTCTGGTCATTCCGAGCGACCGCCTCACCGGGTCGGGCAGTCGGCGGCTGGTTGAGATGGTGCCTAACGCAAAATACATTTACTGCGACCCGCGCCCTAAACTTCCGACCTCTTCTTCTTCACAAACCTCGACGTCGACTGAAGATGCGGTGCCTCAGGGGTGCCTTTCACGAGCAAAATTCACTGAATTGACCACCGACATAATCCTTCAGTGGGTGAATAATGCGGCGAGTGAGTAAGTGCCAGACTCTGGTAAACCAAGCCTTATGTTTGCTTGCATATGTTCCAACATATATGCAATACATTGGTTTTAATGGTCCAATCATTGCTTGACTAGCATAGTCAATAATGAACAGGTAATTATTCAAATTATTCAAAGACCTAGAAGTCGTGTGCCGATTGCTAGCTCCATCATTTTGAGTATTCGAATGCAGGCTCTAACAAACTTATAGGGATAATGAACGATAAGAAATTTCAATTTCATCTTCTCTAGTTTCAAAACTTAACAGAAATCATTTGATAACCTGACATCAGCACATCCCTGTTTTGATTAAACGCTTCTGGTAAAATAAATTTGTGTTACGAGACAAATGTTCTGAAAAAACAATTGAAGCTTTCCATCTGTGTATCAGGTGAAAGAAGATTATTATCTTCAATATGAGATTCATATTAATTGGAAACGTGTTAAGCCTATATAGATCCTCTATGACTGAAAGTATGAGGCAGTATACTTTCAATCGTGTACCCAATGTAATTAGTTACTGGATTAGTCACACTGATATGGAAGATGTGAATTCGGTTTTTGATTATTTTTGTGTTCTATGAAGATTTTCTGTTGATGTAATGTCAACTTTGTTTAAAACTTATTAGAATTAAATGAGCAAGTTTCTCCTTAAGTCCCAGTGATAACATGCGATAATTTTTTCGCATTCACGTGGGTTTTGATAAGTTTGTCTATTAAAGTGTGTTTCGAAACTAAACGTTTGCTTCTTCGCTACCTTTGGATAAGCCAGAAATCGACCAAGAATATGGGATATTTTTTGGCCCTGACGCCAGGTAGTTCGTTAACTAAACCTGCTCACACCATCCCGCTGCAGTCACTTCTGACATACAAACGTGCGTCAGGTTACTAAATGTGATCAAGCTGAGGGTTAGAAAGAGGCCGAGTCTGATGAATCAGATTCGGATAGTCTGATTATTCAGAAGAATCTAATAACTTAATTTCAGGCCTTAAGAGCAGTGCTTAGAGCTGAAAAGGGGTTGTTAAGCATTTGTAATACTAAATCCGGATCTGCTGAGCGTCTGACGTCTCTGTGCGTATTACTGTGTGTGATTAGATAGCGGAGGAATGGAGGCAAATATTACTTTAAAACTTGGTGGAACTGCTACAGCTTCGCACTTCGGGCACCTTTTTGGAGCTCAATTGTAAACTCCATTAGTTGTGCTAATATGGCATAGTGCTTTTGGATCATAACGACATCTTAGTAAACTGCCGAGATCTTTACAATTTTTAGCATGTCTGACTACACCGAATCCGCATTCAGGAGCTAACAATGAACGGGTAAATAACTGTTAAATCTGTCTAGATTTCCTTGGTCAATAGACACAACTGTCACAACTTCACAGCAGAAGAACCGACTGATTTTAGAAGGATTTTAATTTTTTCGAAGGATTTTCTTGCAAAACCTTAAGAGGGATCCCAGCACGTGTGTTGCAGCTAACCAATGGAGACACCGCTGGCCCGAGTATCATGGATACCACGACCCGCTCCTTGATTGCTTTATTCTTCACGCTGACTCTTGTGCCTGATGAAGACGTGCTGCGGGAGAGGAGGGTTGCGGATTATTGATATGAGATATCATCACGCTCCAATACTTTATTGAACGTACACCAGGTACACGCTCTCCACATATGAAATTCAGTTTTCAGATGACCTGCTTCAAGAAGATGACCGCGTCTTATATATATGAAATCCTCAACCTAAAGACCGATGTTGAGGGCTTGAAGAATTCATTGCTGGCCCAAAAAGTGCCTACAGAGCAAGATCTCCAGGCATCGGATGCCTCGATCAGCAGAATTGATGCTTACAGCCGACATGAGTTTGAGGAAATGCTTAGACGCTTAAAATTTGAAGCGCCAAATTTAAAAAAGCGAGACTGGATTCAGCTAGCAGAAAATGTGACTCGTTAGAACTAAGTAAAATAAATTTTCCGGCAGACACGGTCTATGTGCTAGCAATGGCGCATGCACCATGAATAATCAAAAGCGTAAATTAATCTTGATATACATAAACCGGCAGTATATCAGTAGCTATTTGGTGACGAAATAAATATGACTGGATCGTTCATTTTGCTACAACGGCAGACCAGAAACACCTGCTGCAAGACAACAGATGCGCTAGTTAGACACACGTGAACCTTCCGTGACATCATGGGCGTATATAGTAGACTCATGAAACAGAACTGTAATGTCTACGATGGGAAGTAGGCAACTACAGCCTATCGCCGAAGATCATCGCAATTATCACAGCAGCTGGGACAAGAATAAGCAAATAATTGCTCTAGTTTTGGTGCTCTTACCCACTAGGCCACCTCCGACGAGTAGGGATTATCGACAATTACTCATGCCAATGCGTGTATTACAGCACCATTATTTAAATAACATTTTGGTAAGTGCATATTCGAAATAAAGGCAAGCTTACTTGCTTCTATAACATGAATATGCGGATTAGTTTTGTTATTAGAACGCATTTAAAGAACAAATACAGACCACACTTGGCGTGTGTTTTGCTTACTTTTATTACAATCAATATTATTCCAAGCAAATCAGATGTGGTCAATAATGTTACGGATTTTAATATTAGTTTCAACTGTCAGCGACGTGGAGCGGCAGAGGGGCGGCGCTGCCAAGCAGCGAGCTTATTGAATGAACGTCATGCAGCGCAGCCGGTAGTGGCCCCGAAGGGACCGTCTCCGAGGTGTGGTTGCCAATTAAGTCTGATTATTATTAGCCAATTAAGTCTGTTATTAAACGTAACTTAGATGGACGAACAAAAACCATGAATGCCCTAAATTTTTGTGGGCATTCGGTCCCCTCTGGTGAGTTAAAACTAATTTAGAAAAATTTAGAATTCTATATCGAATTCGTGATTTTTTTTCGGTTGAGAATGGCTACAGATATCGTACCTTTATGATGGTCTTGGTGAATTGATCATGTTGAACCGTTCATGCTCGAAACACAGGATTGACCTTGATCAAATTAATCGACACTGAGTTCGCAATACTCTGGTTTGATCCTAATAATAGGCTTATCCCATCAGCTCAGGCCAAATAGTTGGTTAGTTAGTTTAGTAGGCAAATGTTTACTAGCGCTTCAGCTATTTAGCTATCTCACACCGAAAGTCAAGATGAACATCACCGAAGAGGTGGAAGGTCTCAGCGAAAATTTCTCAAATCAAAAATAATTCATCACCCACAAGGGGCGGAAAGTCTCAACTGTCCAGACCGCTAAAGCTGGCTCAAAGGAAGCAGAGTTATAGCATCTCAAAGAGACGAAGTAACAAGGAGGGACAGGTGAAAAGCCACAGAAACTAAGACACTCGAACAAGAGGTCGCTTACACGGGACGTCGGCTGCCTGCACGAGAGAGACAGCGAAGGGAAATACAAGGAATCCTATTTACATAATAACTTAATGTAAGGACTCCTACCTACATAATAACTTAATGTAAGGAATCCTACCTACATAATAACTTAATGTAAGGAATCCTACCTACATAATAACTTAACCCCACAACTGAGACCTGCAGTCAGACACCGCGAGCTCAGCGATGGGGCGCTCAGGAACAATCCCCCTATAGGAGCGCGAAATCCCACAGGACTTCTGACGAGCACAGACACGCATCAGAAGTCCCCCCTGATGGGTCAGGCCAAATAAATTTTAATTAATTTTCCGAATAAAAATTAAAGGAATTTCTTGGTTTCGCAGATCAAGAACGAAAGCAGGAATTTAAGAAAAATGGTTATTTACATTTTACACTGGTATTCGAAAGGTAGTTTGGTCGAAAATAACTTCTACTTGCATTTATCAACTTGGAAGTGATCTAATTTTAATTGAGATGGGCGTAGGGGCTGTAGCTGTTATTTATATTCAATTCATCAGCAATATAAACGCTACTGTGTTGCTCTCGTCGGCAAGATTGCGATGCAATGAATGTGGCTGAAGACGATGGCAGACGATACGAAAGCAACGTGTGGACGATTTTCTTAGAATACTTTACGAATTGGATGACTACCATATTTATTCTGCTCTTTTGGCATAAACGAACTTTTTCCTGCTGTTCAATGTATTGATGTACCTCAACAATCCATCTTACCTGAACACAATTCAAGAATATGTAGAGCTTGCACACAGATTATTCAATTAATTCCTTCAGTCCAGAGTTTTGTGTCGCAAATTTGTGTCCGGTTGAGAACATGTTTAAAGAGTCGATTAGGGCTGAGAAAGAAAGAAAGTTGAAAATGATTCGTTCAAATACTTTTTTATCAATATAAATCATGGTCCAATAATGTTATTTAAGACACTTGGAATACTTTGGGATAAGATACATTCTGATTTGCAGCTCCCATCTGACGGGCTCAAGCTGCGTGGTAAGCCGTGTACAGTCACATAACAATGATGGAGGAGAGCAAACTGTCGCATCCCTCATCAAGCCGTGGACAGCCACCTTCTTGTGACCACCCACACTCGCCCACAAGGCGGCTGCCTGAGCTTATGTCCCGCCTCGTCGCCCACCACCCCGTCGGCATAAACCTCCTGCCCCTGGACTCCTGCTGGAGGCCGGCAGGACAGTCAGGTGGTGGCTTACGAGCAACCATTAAAGATTTTAGGTAATTAAAGTGAATATTTATTCTTATAAGATTTTTAAAAGAAAAAACTGCGCACATGAAGATGAGACGTTCTCAAACAATTCTTTACAACGCTTAAAGTTTTTATTCGCTAAAAATAGTCATTGGATATAAGTGGTTACAGTTTAGAGTCCTAGGATTTAGTGGGAAGTGACTTGCGGGTTTGATTCCAGCTTCCTGTGACACATACGTTCAAAATCTGTGAGGTGAACGGAGGTGGGGGGAGGGCAAGCCCAACAAAATCTATGGAGCAGTAAGTTGCATGTTCGCGAAGAAACAAGCTGTGAAAATTTGCGATGTTCAGCATCACAGACAGGCCTATAAATAGCCGGCCCTAACAGGCACCGGCTCCAGGAGGTATACGGCTCTCCTGACCAGATCATGGCAGACTTGAACGTCGTCGCCGCACCGCATAGAATCCGACTGCTGCGCGGAAAACTTGACGCATATAATCAAGGTTACTTGACACGTTTGAAGCTTAGGCTAATTTGTGAGTTTGATACAATGTCTCGTGTCACTGAGTAGGATTTTTCCTATTCAAAGAAATTATTGAAAGCTGTTAGCCAGTTTAACCGTTCGAAATAGATTTACGTTATATTTATTGAGATGAAAGATGAGGAAACATTTTCCGAGGTGTTATTTATATTGCTATACAATAAATATTATTCTGGTTGTAGCTCATCAAGATCCTTAAAATTTTTTTAAACTTTTAAAAAATTTATTTAACTTTTTGAAACAATATATTAAATATCTAGTGATATATATTAGAAAACAAACTTTACTGCGGGGCAAGGACGGTTTCGGAATTTTAAGCAGGGAAATAAATTGATCAGATGAACTATCAAGTCCGGTACCCCGAAATTAACCAATATAAAATAACGGAATAAAAAGTTACAATGAATGATAACTTGTCAAATTGAATGTAAAATGAGACGGAATAAATTATGAATTCTGAAAAAATAGGTTATATGGCCGACGTAACTAGGAAGTCATTAAAAATCATTGAATCGTTATAATATTATGTTTTGTCACTTTGTAACCAGAAGCTTATCAGCTAATAGAATAGTTCAT